CGATACTCGTATCCTGACAGATACCCGTATCAACTTTTTAAAAAAAAATCCCAAAAATTACTTAATAAAATTCTAAAAAAATGAAAATCTAAAACTACATTTTACTTGGTAATCAAATAATGGGCCTATATGACTATATCTGAATTAAGTCATTAACTCATACTCCGAATTGGGTACTTGCACTTTTAATTTCAAGATTGTAGTTGTTAGACTTATTTCTCATTTTGAATTAATGACTTATGGAGTACATTTATATATGAGATACACTAGTGTATATAAGAAATATTCTGAATTTATAACTAAGTATCTTGAAAAAGGAAAATGCTTCAATGCAATGAATGAGTAGACATCATAGGATATTGATGTGTGTGTGTGTGTGTGTGTGTATATATATATATATATATATATATATATATATATAGGAAAAACTTCCGGTAAGGTATACCTTACCGGAGCCGCCGTGCAGCCTCCACGTTTTGAGGGCCTTCCTGGTGGAATTTTTCGATGAAATGTTTTGAGCATGTTCTTCATCAAATCTAGTACATCCATACCAAATTTCAGCAAAAAATGCAATCGAGAAGGCAGTCAAACGATTTTTGGAAGATAACTGCAACCTTTATATACATATAAAACGAAGTCAAACGATCCCGACTTTTCTATACATGAGACCTGATACCCTACTTAGAATTGGGCAAAATATATTATACACTCGGCTGTACCGTGTCACTTGGTACAACCAAGTATTTTTGTAATTATATGCAAACCGGAAGTCATTAGTTAAGGATCATGACTTTTGCTTCCTCTATTTCTCCTCCGTTCTTGCATTTCCCCGATTTTTCTTTTTGTTTTTCCTTATATTTTAACTTTTTAGTTTTTACTCCTTTCTTCCTCTTCCGTTACTTTACTGCTCTTCCATTTTTTAGTTTTGTTTTTCCGCTCTTTTAGTTTTGCTTCTCGTTTTTCCTTTCTTTTTTGTAGTTCTGGTTTTCCTTTTTCTTCTTTTAGTTTGGAACTTTAATTCTTCTATGTTTCAATTTTCTTTTTCTTTTTTCTGCTTCGGTTTTTTTTTTGTCTCTAAATTTGAACTTTTATTTTTCCAACTTTAAATTTTCTTTTTCTTTTCTATACTTCATTTTTTCTTTTATCTTTTTATATATACTTTTTGTCTTTTGGATCACTAATTTTGAACTCCTACTTTTTTGTTTTTATGTAATTTTGCTACAATAACTTTTTGTCTTTTTCATGCAATTCTTTCACAAATTCATATCAAATGCGATGCAATAAAAACATATACACCTATTCTTTATGTTATACTGATATGAGCATACACAAATTGATATTTTAGCATAGTAGAGATTTTAAATGAGATTTTTAATTTTTTTATGCGCATTTCGTAAGTTACCTATGCTCAATTGAAATTGACGTAATGCTCACTTTAAAATGAGTATTACACCAGACATTTTAAAATGTCATATCCTTGCATATTGGTGTAATGCTCATTTTAAATAATTCGATGCTCATTTCATAAGTTATGTATTCTCATTTGTACTCATACTATGCTTGAGAATGAGTATATTGTTAGATTCGCATATTCATTTGAGGCTTCTAAAATGAATTTTGTGTTATATGAGAATGAGTATACCGTTTAAAGTAAATGTGCATTGATGTAACATTAATGAACATTTGATAACATTGGAGATTTGAAGTGAGCTTTTGAATTTTTCGATGCTCATTTTGTAAATTGTGTATACTCATTCGGTAGTGATCGTATGCTCACTTTAAAATGGCATATACATTATGTTAGATTCACATATTTAAATTAATAAAACTTGATTATAGGTATAATTTAACAAGTTTTTATAAAAGAAAAAAACAAACAGAAAGTGAATCAAAAATTATGAATCGGAATTCATGATGCTTAATATTGGAATCCTAATCTCAATAGAATAGGTCTAATACTCATTAAAAGTTCATTAATGCTTATTTAACAGAAATTATGATTTCTTTCGATCTCAATCTAGGACGTTTGATGCTTAACGAAAATGTTATGATGTTCAACTAACAAACCTTATGACTTTTATATCAATGCGCATTTTGTAAGTTACTTATGCTCAATAAAATGGGTCAGATGCTCACTAAAAGTACAATATTGCTCATTTAGCAGAGCTGTGATTTTCGCTTAAATTAAAAAAAATGCCACTGAAATGCACATTTTGTAAGTTACTATGCTCATTTGTTACTCATCTTATACTCATTTTCTAAATGTCATATCAATGCATTTTTTAAAAGTACTATTCTATTTCGTAGTAGGTTCACATATTAAATTCATAGGAGTTGATTATAAATATAATTTAATAAGTTTTTATAAAGGAAAAAATAACAAAAAGAAAGTGAATTAGAAGTTATGAAACAAAGATCACGATTCTGAATATTAGACTCCTAATACTCAACACTATATGTCTGATGCTCATTAAAAGTTCATTAATGCTCATTCACCAGTAAGCGTGATTTTCATGTCAATAGCGGAGGTTTGATGTTCAATTAAAATGTCGTGATGTTCAACTAACAAACCTTACGACTTTAATATCAATGTGCACTTTGTAAGTTATATATGCTCATTTGGCATTGATATTATGCTCATTTTTAAAAATGTTATATTAATGTATATTTCAAAAGTATCTTATTACATTAAAGTCACATATTGAAATTAATAGGAATATATTAAAGATATAATTTAATAAGTTTTTATAAAAGAAAAAATAAGAAAAAGAAAAAAGAATTACAAGATATGAAGCCGGGATCGTGATACTCATTGTTAGCCTCTTAAATACTCAATAAAATAGAAATGATGCTCATTAAAAATACATTATTGCTCATTTAGCAGAAGTCATGAATTTTCGCTTAAACTATAAAAATGTCGTCAAAAATATTAGACTATATTAATTAAATGGGCTGTCATATTTGTTAATTGGGCCTTTTTGTGGCCATTTCCGGAACTGGAGTGCGGAGTAAAATTGAAAGATTTGATTTACGGGTAATGTTCATCGTCCCTCTCGAGATGATGAGCATAGATAACTTACGAAATGAGCATCAAAAAATTTAAAAAGCACATTGAAAATCTCTAGTATACTCAAGTATCAATTTGTGTATAACATAAAGAAGCATCAAATAAATGATATTTGGAAATATATTCACTAATTAGATATTTTTATATAAGTTTTTGATGAGTTAGATGGTTGAATTTTTAGTAAAAAGATGCCTTATATCATTTGTGGTCTATATTCAAATAGTTGGTATTATTAAAACTTATTTTCAAAGTACGTATTATTCATGCTTCACGAAAGATAGTTTGTATTATTTAAAGTTATTTTCCCTTCTTTATATATATATATATATATATATATATATATATATATATTAAACACATTAGAAATGAGTTTTACCTTAAACTCAAATGAGTAAAACGCTTAAAAATGAACATGCACTGATGAGTTTTTGAATTTTTCAATACTCATTTTGTAAATTATGTATGTTCATTTAGTATCTCTGTTATGTTCATTTTTAAAATGTTTTAGCAATGCACATTTCAAAAGTCTCATATTACATTAGATTTATATAAGAGTTGATTATACACACGAGACCACAAATCATTATACTCAATCGCAGATTCTAATACTCAATAACGGGGATTTAATGCTCACAAAAAATGTCTTGTCGCACAACGAATAAATATTACAATTTTCATATAACTACTCATCTTGCAGAAATCATGATTTTCATCGATCTCAATAGAGAAGTTTTGATGCTGAATGAAAATGTTGTGATGATTAACCAACAAAGCAACTAACAAATTCATTAATACTCATGTTGTAAGTTACATATGCTCATCTGATACTCATTTTATGATCATTTTCTAAATGTCATATCAATGCATTTTTTAAAAGTATTATTTTATGATAGACTCCTAATACTCAACATAATAGGTTTGATGCTCATTAAAAGTTCATTATTGCTCATTCACAAGATACTATATATGATTTTCATCTCACTAGCAGATGTTTGATGCTCAATTAAAATGTCGTGATATTTAACTAACAAACCTTACGATAAAAAATAACAAAAAGAAAGTGAATTAGAAGTTTGTAAAGCAGAGATCACGATTCTGAATATTAGACTCCTAATACTCAATAGAATAGTTAGGGTGCTCATTAAAAGTTCATTATTACTCATTCTCCAGAAGTCATGATTTTCATCTAAATGGTTGAGGTTTGATGCTCATTTAAAATGTCATGATGTTCAACTAACAAACCTTACGATTTTCATATCAACGTGCACTTTGTTAGTAATGTATGCTCATTTGATACTAATGTTATGCTCATTTTTAAAATGTCATATCAATGCATATTTCAAAAGTATCATATTACATTAGACTCGCATATTGAAATTAATAGGAGTGAATTTTAGATATAATTTAATACGGAGTAAGTTTTTATAGCAGAAAAATAGAAGATATGAAGCAGAGATCGTGATACTCATTATTAGCCTTATAATACTCAATACAATATGTGAGATGCTCAACAAAACTACAATATTGCTCATTTAGCGGGAGCCATTATTTTTCGGTTAAATTACAAAACTGCCACCGAAAAAATAGGTTGTTTTAACTAAATGGACTGTCTTTCTTTTAATTGGGCCTTTTTATGGGCCTTCCGTGAGATTCATTTAATTCTATTCAAACTGGGTTATTAAAATGGACTGAAGCTTAAAAAAATGTTAAAAAAAAACGGATGTACTGTTCTCACCCGTACATCCGGGTGTACGATATACGTACTCCTTAGAATTGTACTAGATTCAATTTTGAACCGGGACCGAACTTTTAATATTCTGATCGGTCACAGAATCAAATGAAAAATTTGATGAACTTGTTTCTAGATTTAAAAATGTAAAATAAAAAAATGAAAACCGAAAATTGCATAACCAAAAATAGCCAAAAATAGGGAAAAAAAAGGAAAATATCACTGGTAAACAGACCCTTATCTCAATTTCAGATTTGTGGTCATCATCGTGCTATCATCATAGACGAGAAGTCGAGAACCATTGAATGGTATTCCTGAGGGGATTTTAGATTATTACACAAAAGAACACCAATCTTGATGGCGTCTGAAGGTAAATGATGGCGTCTGCGCAGTGTGTTCTGACTTCCATTGTTGGCAAGAATTTGAACAGCTCTGTTCCGATGAGTTATCCGAGCATTTCCAGTATGCCTGGTTTTGATAGTCTGAGTTTGCGGAGAAAGAGTATCTGTCCTAATTCATTTTCAGGATCGAGAGATGCCATCAATGATGATAAGAAGTCTAAGCAAAGGAAGCATACTGTTGATCCTGGTGCCCCAAATTTTCTCCCCCTCCCTTCATTTGAAGAGTGCTTCCCAAAGAGCTCAAAAGAGCACAAGTATTTCTAAGCCTATTTCCTCTCATTTTATTTATTTTACTCTCATTCCTATTGCCGTTTTAGTTTAGCTGTTTATTGTGGCATTTTCAGGGTGATTGTTGATGAGCAATCTGGTCATGTTTTGGAAGTCCCTTTTCGGCGCATCCACCTGACAGGAGATGAACCACATTTTGACACTTATGATACTAGCGGTCCACAGGATGCTAACCCCCGTGTTGGTAAGAATCTCATCTAGTTTATCTTTCTTTAAGCTACATGATTTTTTTTAATTTTGTAAATTTCAATAAACCTAACAAGTCAAACAACCTATAAGAGCTATAGTATGAGTTTCAACTGTAGAGCCTAGACTGTAACGTTAGGAAGTCAATTTCATCTCTTTTATGGTCAGTAATATGTTAGTTCTGAATGTGTGATACTTTAACAATGATATAGGGCTAGTTTGGTTTTGGGATCTTAGAGGGAAGGGGAGGGGATGTATGATTTTTTGTTTTTACTAATACATCTCTAATTCTTAGTTTTAGGCTAGAAATAATTATATGATTAGTTAGATCTTGTATTTGTATGTAGTTTTTTATCTTTATTTTTATCTTCAATCATCTAAATGAAGAAATACTTTAAAAATTCTTACTAATATACTTTATTTTTACTAATACATCTCTAATTCTTAGTTTTAGGCTAGAAATAATTATATGATTAGTTAGATCTTGTATTTGTATGTAGTTTTTTTATCTTTATTTTTATCTTCAATCATCTAAATGAAGAAATACTTTAAAAAGTAAATATTGATCCTCTCGTAATCCCCACACAAAGAAACTGGTAAAAAAGTCTTTGATGTTGTTGTTATTGAGCTATCATTGGATTAGTATAAACTTTGAAATGGTTATGTGGATTAGGACTCCCCAAGCTGCGCAAAGAGTGGATCGACAGAAGGGAGAAGTTGGGTGGGCCGAGATACACTCAAATGTTTTATGCAAAAAATAACATTATAACTGAAGAGATGATATTTTGTGCTGCCCGTGAGAATCTTGACCCAGAGTTTGTGAGATCCGAGGTTGCCCGTGGGCGAGCAATCATTCCCTCAAACAAAAAGCACCTAGAGCTCGAGCCAATGATTGTGGGAAGGAACTTCTTGGTCAAAGTCAATGCCAACATTGGAAACTCAGCCGTTGTGAGTTCCATTGAGGAGGAAGTGCACAAACTACAATGGGCAACGATGTGGGGTGCAGATACTATCATGGACCTCTCCACTGGCCGTCACATCCATGAGACCCGTGAATGGATCTTGCGCAACTCTACTGTCCCCGTGGGGACTGTACCAATCTACCAAGCATTGGAAAAAGTGGACGGTATCGCTGAGAAACTTTCTTGGGAAGTTTTTAGAGATACATTGGTTGAACAAGCTGAGCAAGGGGTTGATTACTTCACCATCCACGCTGGAGTATTGCTTCGCTATATTCCCTTGACTGCAAAGAGAATGACTGGGATTGTTTCCCGTGGAGGTTCCATACACGCAAAGTGGTGCTTGGCCTATCACAAGGAGAATTTTGCTTATGACCATTGGGATGACATTCTGGACATATGCAATCATTATGATGTATCGTTGTCTATTGGTGATGGGCTGAGGCCAGGCTCCATTTATGATGCAAATGACACTGCTCAATTCGCCGAGCTCTTAACTCAAGGAGAACTTACCCGTAGAGCTTGGGAAAAGGACGTGCAGGTAATTGTGTCATAGTTGTCTGTATAATCTCAGTTTTCATAGAATCATTGTTTCATAATCATCTTCAACTTAATCACAAATAGTTGGATTAAATAGTTCGGGCGAGTGGCATGGAATTTAGGCATGCTTGGTAAAATCCATTTCAGCCAAAGTGTTTAGCAAAATCCATTTCTGAATCAAGTGTTTAGTAAAATCTTCAGCCAAATAAGTCAAAAGGTGCTTCTACTTTTCATAGAATAAGCAGGATATGGCCACCTAATGCAGCCTTATATGATAAGCGTGTGTCTAAACAAGTTACGGAATTAATCAATCCAGAAAGTGTGGTGACAAAGTTCTACGCCATATGCCTTTCCTCGAATAGCGGAATCATCATTTGTATTTCCCTATTAAAAAGGTAGTTGAGTAGTTCTACAACTTCTTAGTTGGTGTAGGCATTTCATGAATAAAAAACTCCAACAACTGAATCCTTATAGATCATGTTGCTTTAGTACTCTTCAATGCCGTTATTTCCACTAATAAGGGTGTGTTTGGCACTTTGGCATTGATTATGAATCAAATTCAGAATATTGTTTTGTATGAGAAAGTGATTCATATTTAATTTTATGACATTGTTTCTGCTCTATTCCATCATTTGCAATGGAGCCAAAGATTCGTTATTATTTGGCTTGAAAATATGATGGAATAAAACAAAATGGCTCACCAAACTGTATGCTCTTCTTTGTTATGAAGCAGTAGTCAGTTCATGCAATTTTGGACGAGATTTTCATTATAGGTTATCGGGAAACAGTCTCTTTGTGCTTTAGTACAGGGGTAAGACTGTGTACATCCGACCCCCCTTACCCCACCGTAGGTGGGAGCCTTTGCGGCACTGGGGTAAATGATGATTGATGATGATTGATTGATATTGCTTCTGCTCTAAAGATAAAGAATCACTTGAGTGTTTGGATAAACCCTTCTGCTTGAAGTTTATCCTTGTATTACATGGCGAAGAGGGTAAAGTTTAGTGGCACACATACACACATAAGTGACAGAGGGTAGTTAAGTAATGAACATTCAAGTATCATAATCAATTTTATAGAAACATGGCCCCACTAGCTTTATATCTGATTCTAAGTGTGCACCAGAAGTGATTCTGGAGTACTCGCAAATACTCATAAAAATGATGATACTGTTTGTAATTACTTGTAGAAGCAGAGTCATTCTAAGAAGCAGATCCAACCACCCGGCCTTAACATGTTAGTATATTCTCTGTAATTCATTCAGGTCATGAATGAAGGACCTGGACACATTCCCATGCACAAGATTCCAGAGAACATGCAAAAACAATTGGAGTGGTGTAACGAAGCACCTTTCTACACTCTCGGACCACTCACCACCGACATAGCACCCGGATATGACCACATAACCTCAGCCATAGGTGCAGCCAATATTGGAGCACTGGGCACCGCCCTCCTCTGCTATGTCACTCCGAAAGAGCATCTTGGCTTGCCTAACCGGGATGACGTGAAAACGGGAGTTATATCATATAAGATATCTGCCCATGCGGCTGACCTTGCAAAGGGTCACCCTCTTGCACAAGCGTGGGATGATGCGATAAGCAAGGCAAGGTTTGAGTTCAGGTGGATGGATCAGTTTGCACTGTCACTTGACCCTGTCACCGCAATGTCCTTCCACGATGAAACCCTGCCATCAGACGGTGCTAAGGTGGCGCATTTCTGCTCCATGTGTGGGCCCAAATTCTGTTCTATGAAGATCACTGAGGATATACGGAAGTATGCTGATGAGCACGGGTATGGGAGCCCAGAGGAAGCGATCCAGCGTGGGATGGACGCTATGAGTGCAGAGTTCAAAGCAGCAAAGAAAACTGTGAGTGGGGAACAACACGGTGAAGTTGGTGGGGAAATCTATCTCCCCAAAACTTACATTGACCCTTTGAAGATCTAAAGGAGGTAAATGGTATGTTTCTTGTAGCGTATTATTTGTTGTAGAGTTGTAGTAATCTTTCTTTTCGCATTTATTAGTAGAATCATATGGTTTCTATTCTCATCCCTTCTGTGTGGATTCGGGAAAATGCTAGGCTAAGACAAGCAAATGCCAAGGAAATTTATTTTCTTATACCTTGAAAAATACAAGAAAAATGGAGTACGGTTTACATATGTTTATTATTATTTTTTGATAAACATAGAATTTGTAGTCTATATGTATTAGAAAGTAATAAAAAAAATGAGTTAGAATAAATATCTAAACATAAACTTCTCTTCCAAATTTTATTTCCTGACAGTTTTTCTTTTTAGATTTTCCTCCCTATTTACCAAGCTCGAAACATAGACATTAGGTTTCGAGGTTTGGTTTCCTATTCCTATTGGGTTTAAGCTCATTGGTTTCTTATATAAGCAATATAATAGTTTAAGGCTTTAAGCATATAGTTGTAAGCTGAAAAGTCATATGAATAGATGTAGTAATTGTAGTTTACTATTCCAAATTATTGATGAATGTTGAGCTGGGAAATGATGCACATATTGGGAGAACAAACTAAGAGAAATAGCTTTCAAAAGCATGAATGGAACTAAAGTATACATACTTGTTTAAGCATCGTTTGTTTCATAATAAAAAAACCTAGATAATAATCTGAATGAATGTCTTTGCAGGATAAGTATGCATGTCTGAGTGAACTGCTAATTAGGAGTTCTGGGTTTAAGCCCATTGGTTTCCTATATTAGCAATATAATAGTTTAAGCATATAGTTGTAAGCTAAAAAGTCATATGAATAGATGTAGTAATTGTAGTTTACTATTCCAAATTATTGATGAAAGTTGAGCTGGGAAATGATGCACACATTGGGAGAACAAACTAAGAGAAATAGCATTCAAAAGCATGAATGGAACTAAAGTATGCATACTTGTTTAAGCATCGTTTGTTTCATAATAAAAAAACCCAGATAATAATCTGAATGAACGTCTTTGCAGGATAAGTATGCATGTCTGAGTGAACTGCTACTTAGGAGTTCTACAAGCCATCCATGGCACATGGGGCCCACTCAAACAAGTTTCAAGATCTTGATCCCTTCCTCATAAGTAAGTATTTAGTTTTGGTTGGTGGTGTGAAATAAAACTATGACGACAGATTTCCTTGTTTGAAGATTATCTCTATTTCTCCGTATTGTCAATAATTAATAATGTAAAACCTTGAATATGTAAACCTTCTACATCATGTGTGTTTTGTTTTTCTACAATAATTTGACACAAGAAGTGCACCAGGGGTGTCTGGATCAGCCAGGATGCTCTCTGGCTGAAACAGGCTGAGAAAGTCCCTTTGAACCTGAACAGGATAATACCTGCGTAGGGAGAGTGCCTTTTTCTTTCCCTCTTCTGTCTTTTGCTGACAGGGATATCTAGATATACGGCGAGATTACGACCACAGGCTTGTTTGACCACAACAACTTTCGGAGTAAAGTTTCCCCAGCATTACTGATCTGCTCAGTCGCACGCAGAGTTATTGATATCTTGCATCATGGTAAAATGACGACTTAACATAAATACCTCCTTTCTTTAATAGTTGCAACACTTTAAATTTTACTTTATTCACAAACCTTACTTCTACCATGATTTTCTACTAATATGCGGAGTTATAATCAAATTATTATGTATAAATATTATTAAATTTCTCTTAATGTGAACCTCCAAAAATATTAAATTTTATAATGTTTTGTAATTAAATATAATTGTAGTCAATGTTGTGCTTGGCAAATGTGAAAGTCAAAGTGTTGCAATTAAAAAAGAAAGGAGGTAGTATTTCATTTGGATTCAAGGGAAATCAGTTTTCTTGGATTCATACCGGTGTTATCTGTTATCCAATTTGAGGTGAATTTGCGACTTTAAGAAGTTTATACTTTCATGTACATATGTGTACACAAGAAAATGTGTTAATGCACATCTTAAGGCATTCATGGGGGGATCCAGGGCATTAGGCCGGTACAAAGACCGGATTTTTTACACTAAAAGTATAGGCATTTTTTAAATTTGGGCTGGGCCGGAGCCTAGGTTGGCCCACTAGCTACGCCCCATGAAGGCATTCATGACCCCTTTTGATGTCCTTTAAAATATTTTTTTATTATAACAGTACATTTTAGTAGGGAGTTTTATTATTAAAAAGAAATTTGTAGATACAGAAAGTCAGAAATACAAGTGTGGTAGGTGGTTTTCTCCAGTTGTTTATTTGTATTTACTCTGATTCCTCTTGTTTTTGATACTTTTGATGGATTTTTGGAACTTCAAAACCAGAGAATGACTTTGAGAAAGTTTTCTGTTTAGTTGCATGAAGCTGTCATGCTGAGATTTATTTATGGTAGATTCTATGGTACATTGGTACCCATAAGATACCATACCTTTGTCCACATGGACCAATGAGAATGTAGCAGTTGAATTATTTAAATCTATATTAAAAATGATAAAGTGATGTGGTCCAATCAAATGAATGATAGGTACGGTATCCCATATTTTACAAAGGTACCAGAGTTGTCACCTTTATTTATTTGCGATAAGTTAGTATTTGGGAGTGCCCTTTTTAGCTTCGTTTCATTTCCTCGGATCCTTCACCAGCAAGTCTCACCCCATCAAAATCCAAGAGCGTTAAGTTCTTACCTGGTTAATACTCCGTATAATTTTAAGTCGTTTTTTTTTTCTTGGGAAAACTGTCAAATAGGTCCTCGAACTTTCATAAAAAAGTCAATTAAGTTCTTCTATAGGAGGTACTGTCCGGCCGTCGCGATTTGGGGTAGTTCCCGGTGGAATTTTTTGATGAAAATTTCTAAGCATCTTATTCACCAAGTCTAGTTTACTCATACCAAATTTCAGCTAAAAATTCAATCGGGAACAAATTCAAATTAATTCGTGAAGATAACTGCGCATTTTTGCGTTATCGAATTAATTTGAATGCGCTCCCGATTGAATTTTTTGCTGAAATTAGATATGAGTAAACTAGACTTGATGAATAAGATGCTCAAAAAATTTCATCAAAAAATTCCACCGGGAAGCGCCCCAAATCGCAACGACCAGACAAAGTCTCCTATAGAAGGACTTAATTGACTTTTTAATGAAAGTTCGAGGACCTATTTGACAGTTTTCCCTTTTTTCTTATTAAAGTTTAGCTGATTCATTTGGTCAAAAATCATCTTTTTGGCAATAAGCAACTAAGCAAGTAAAGATGCACTTAATAAGCTGGAGAAAGAAGTCATTCACCGAAACGGTTTGAAATCCGACATTAGTTCTAACTTCTAAAAAACCAATTACCTTTAACCTGTTGGCACGTATATGTTTTAGAAATAATCTCATACCCTCTATATTATCTTCGACCATCATCTCGGAAATCGGAATATGATCTTTTGTGTGCCTTGTATTAACTAATTAATTTTAGTTTAACAAATAATCTCATAATAATATGGCGTGATTGGTGTCACATATTTATCTCAAATTATTCTACCAAATAACCTTGCAAAAAAATCTCTCTAATTCAACTGTGCTCCCGGGCAAATTATACCGTGGGATCGGTGCACCATCCTCATGGTGTACCGATCCCAAAACCATATAAATTTTGTCCGTGTTAATTAAATTCCGCAAGATTAAAAAGAGGCTCTGTGCGTTTCTTCTTGAGATAGAGCATTGGACGTTGGTCATAAACTACCGCCGACGAGGAAGTGGCGGCAGTGCAACAGCTCATTCACAAAGCGGCGGCGAGAGCCTTGATGGCAGCTTTGATGCTGACGAGCAGATCCCACTGGAAGATTTAGTACAGATTGGTCAATCTCGTCTTCCTTCATGTCCAGGCAGTCCAGCAACTTGTTCGCAGTGAAGCCGTGCTCTGCTATTTGGGCGGCGGTGTAGTATACGGAGTATAAGTTTCTGAAGTTTGCTTTAATTTGTTAATATAAACCAGAGATTGCTTTAATTTGTTATTATTTGTTAAACCATATTAACAAATTGTTAATATGGTTTCAAAAGAAGTTTCTTAATTTCTTTTACTCATCACTATCGGATGATATGAAATTGGTAATTAACATTGGTAATTAACAGGTGATTAAATTTTGATGTATGTGATTTACATTTTAGTTACACGGTTACACCTTCTCCTGCGCGAGTTACACCTTCTCATGTACGAGTTACATATTTTTATTCTTGAGTTACATTATTTTATAAACGAGTTGAAGCGCAAGTTACATTTGTCATCAACGTAAGTTACATTTGTAATAACACGAGTTACATAAAAAAAATAACCCCTGCTATTGAAACAAAAAAAATGATTTTTTTTAAATCCTTGTGATGGTCATGATATTAAAAACAAAACATATTCACGATTTACTTCAAGTAATTGTGTAGTTAGACTCTTTTTTTCATTGTTTGCATTGAAATCAATGTTTTATTTCTTATAGTATGTATTTGATAAGTTACATTTCGAATGGACTTGAGTTACATTGATCTATAACGTGAGTTACATATCTTTACACACGAGTTACATCATTCATACTACTGAAATACAAAACAGTTACTATACACGCGTGTACTGTTCACGCGTTACTGTTCATGCGAATGTTTTTTTAAAAAATTGTGCAAAACTACGTCGTTTTGGATGTGGGAGCATGATGCTCACCGTAGAGTGATACCACGGTATACGAACTCGTGCTCCCGAGATAATTTGTCATGTCATTAGAATCATCCCCTAATAATCTCATGGATGAGGATTTTCTTAGATTTGATTCATTTACTCATTAAGTCAAAAGTCATTCTTTTCTAGTGCATACAAGCGTACATTTTTTTCTTTTCTAATTTTGAGTGCTTACATTACTGAATATATTCATAGATATCCTGTTTATTTCATTAAACGAAGTAACTATTATCACAATAATTTTTCTTTATTAATCAAAACTTGATTTTCATTAATAATGTCACTTCATGAAAGTAGTTAACTAGTTTAAATGATTATCTAGATTTTTTTTTGAATAAATGGTTATCTAGAGATAAACAACGCTTAGCTAAATACGTACTAAACAATATTGATTTTCCGTTTACATGTAGCCTATATAATTGAAAAGGATGACTGTTCAAGTGGGTTGTGGTCTTGTGGAGTTGTGGACTAGTAAGATGTCCATTATCCAATAACACATGCTCCGGGTATAAGGGAATGCAATTACATTAGCTAATGACCTGTATTGTGATAAGGGTGCTTCTACGGTGCATTACTTAATTTGATGTGTTTTGGTACACATCTTTTTTAACATCTACATCTTACGCCACCTCATATTATTACTAAACATAATCATTTTTTTCCATTTTTATATTTTAATCCTTCATCCGATTAGAAAAAAAAAATAAAGAAAACTGAATAAAATTGTCAAGGGAGATTTATTTACCTAAATAAGAGTACATAAATTTTTAATTGTAAAAACAGGATTAAACTTTAAAACTACTCTAAATATGAGTTATTAATTGTAGTTAGACTGAAGTATACCTTGAAGGCTTGAAGCTTGACAAAACCTAATGCTGCTGAAAGAGCGACGGACCACCGATAGTTGTCGTTGGCTGCCGGTGTTGCACATCTGGCCGCTGGCGTTGCACATCTGACCAAATCTGGTCGACGCCGATAGACTAGTGGTGTTGCCCATTTGGCCGCCGCCTCCGTATATCTGGCCGGGTCTGGATGCCGCCGCCAAAGATCCGGCCTCTGCCGCTGAATATCTGACCTAACTCCAAAACTAAATAATTTACTAAATAGATTTTTGCTAGTTGCCTAAATCTTCTAGAAACATTAAATTTATCCTTTTATAATTTTTTTGAGACAAATATGAGTGTTAAAACAATAAATTATTAATTATTCACATTTTGAAAATGTGTATTAAAAAACCTTTTACAAAATAAAATTAAATACTTTTTGAATAACATGACAAAAAATTAGAGGAATCCTATTAGAATTTTATGGTCAAATGGAGGTTATTATCATCGATGGTGGATTAAAAGAAAAATCAATATAAATTTTAGGGATAAAAAACCAAAAGAATAGTTTTGCAAGGATATAAAACAAAATATATTACGGAGTATATTTACAGGGATTAAAAACATATTTAAACCTTATTTATATTAGGAAGGGCAAATATGGAATAAAAGTCCTAATGTCCTATTTAGAAAACAAAATATACATATACTCCTATGTAAGAATTTAGGAAACAATTTAATCCTGTTTATTTAGGCTATTAACTCAATCCTCAATATAAGTTACGTTGTCGTTAATCATGTGAAGTAGCACAATTCTACATTGTGATTGGATAAGAAATTGTATGTATCGGGCATTCAAAATTTAGGAATGTACGGTAGAATTTTCCCTGTGATAATAGTGACACAACAAAATGCTAAATACTAGATAAAAATCGTTACTCGTGCTATACTAATACTCCTATATACTAGGTTGGCCATTGGGGCAGAGCCAACTAGCCAAGGAGATCAGGTAGTAGTAGGAGTGGATCGGGCACCGGTCCTCAATTAGGACCAACCCAAGAAAATTTGGTCTTCAGATCGGAAACATAACATGTTTATGATCTAGAGTCAAGACCGGAACCGGTATGGGCGGGCTATGGTATTATGGATGGACCGGGCCCGGTCCGGTTCCAGCCTGGGCCGGGCCGGGCTTGGATTTTTTGGGTAAGGCCCGGGAGTCTGGGACTGGCCCGGGCCGGTTCATTTTTTTTAGGTTTTCTTATTTATTCCACCCCCTCATCCCCCAAACCCCTCGAAAACACCCGGCCCAAACCCAAATAAACAAAAAAAGCCCGAACTGGTCGGGCTGGTCCGCATTTTTCAAGTTCCGGACCTGTCCCCGGAATAGCCATCAGGTCGGGCCTATGCCCGTTACCGGTCACATGGGCCGGGCTGGTCCCGCACAGTAGCGGGCCGGGCCAGTTTCCGGGCCGGTCGGCCCGGACCGGCTCCATCCCTATATGGTATGGGTTCGAAATTTCGGGATTGGAATCGAGTAATTCAATCCCAGTGGCTAGTTCAATCTATTCTATAAATAACTAACATAAATCATGCGAAACAAATATGAAGAATAAATAATTAGTTGATTTATGCCAAGTAACTTGTGGTTTGATGACATCACCGTTGATCTCCCAAGGAGAAGGTCGCAGGTTCGAGTCTCATCCCAATCAAGGATGTTGACATTAATAAGAGCAAATACTATAATAGGTTTAGAAGAATATTAAAAAAAACTAGTTGATTTAGAAGTATATAAATGTGTAAAGGAGATAATAGCATTACTAAACATTTACATATTTTTTTTAACATTTACATATCTACTTTTAAGATTCAATATTAAAATCATTGTTTTCTTTTTCAAAAGGCAGTTATTTCATATTGTTAAGAACATCAATTATCAATTCATAAGCATTACCGAACGTGTTTCAATGTCTTTTAGGCAATTTATAGCGGAGTATGCCATTCTATTTTGTGCTTTCGAAAAGGGCAATTTTTACCTTCGTGGTTTCGAAAAGGGTAACTTTGCTAACCATTGCAGTACCTTTTAGCTTGGTAGGTAACTCTTATAAATGCCCTAATGCAACTATTATTGACCAATTGATATGCATGACAAAATGTTGTCATTAAAATGACAGAGGTTTTGGCTAAAGTAATTTTCTTAAGGAAATTAAAAAGCACATAGCAAGATCCGTCCTCTGATGATCTGATCAATGCAAAATTGGAGTGGCCAAACTACTAAGGTGCTGGCAAGGCTTAGGGTTGGACAAACCAGATCATGAACCGCGTACGAATCTGGTGGGAAAATAATATATATATATATATATTTTGAAATCAGATCGATTTTTTACCTGGAATTGGAACTATTTCAATGTATGGGACCAAACTTCAAAGCCAGCTGATACACAAATCAAGCAAGATGGTAAGGAAACGAAAACGTTGTAACCAGAATACCAGTAAGGCAGTAACCAGATCATTATTATATGCACAGCTGCTGCAAAAACACTGAAACACTCTATTGCACATAATGTATTATGAAATGAAATGTTATTAGATTTTGAAGCAAAGTATAACTCAACCGGTGTGCAAAAAAGGAATCACAAAAATAAAAGTTGAGGATTACAAGATCATAATGATTTCTAAGATTTTTGGTGAACCTTCAATAATTATGAACCCCCAAGAGAGATGAAAAATACAAGGGTACATGTGATGCAACAAATCAAAAACCCGTCAAAGATAGGTTCCATGTTCATGGACATGTAACTAAGCTCTCAACAGGCATAGAATTCTAGCATTTCTTCTTCGACTGGGTGAGTAGTACCAACTATGACAAGACAATGTAGAGGAGGCCCGAAATCGTAGGTTAACAATCGCTTCATAGAACCTGCAACAACCTTCTGATCTTCACTGCCCAGACGGGCGAACCCAACACAAGCAGTGTCTTCATTATATGCTGATTCCCTGCGGGACTCTTCCACTTCTATGAGCTGTTCAATGGCAGTGTTTACTGTCATATACCTTGGTGGCTCATATATCTTTTTACCCCTAGCCAGAGATTCCAATGAAGGTTCCTTCACTCGTATATCCAGTAAGCAGAGAGTGTGCAACCCAAGCCTTCGATTTTCACGAATTTTCTCATAGAAACTGTCAGGCCTCCAAGTTTCTGTGAAAAAGGGAATGGAGATTGTCTCACCATATCGATACAGTTGTAAACCACAAACCCCAACAGCGTTCATTACTGATGCATTATGCACAACCTTTACATCCACCCCCAACTTTTTTGCTCTTACAACAAGATCACTATGGGTAGTTGCTCTGACACGAGTATGAAAGTAATTAATAATAATAAACCAGACAAAAAATGAAATAGCCAAAATAGCAGATAGCAGAATCATGCCATAGTCAAAAAAACGTTTCTTTAAAGCACGTAAATCAATACACAAACAGCTGAAGTTTTGAAGTTTGAACAACAATATTAAAACCTTCTTGATCAGGATAACTATCATCCCATCAGCAGAGCACATATACTTGTTGCCCTTTATATGCGAACTGGTTTTCAGATATTTCTACTTTCTACCAACCATTATGATAAAGTGTTAAAGCGGGACTATAAGTGAATATTCATAACTGAGCCAAATGGGAAAAATGACTAGTGCTATGATCCAGAATTAAGTCAATTAACAATTACTCCCTCCGGTTTTATTTAATCTTCACACTTTGACTTCACACAAAATAAGGAAAGAAATTTGACTTTACTGTAAAGTTCACTATTGAGGCACTGTTTGACACTGTTTGGCACTGTTGAGACACTGTTTGGCACTGTTGAGACACTGTTTGATACTGTTTGGCACTGTTTGACACTGTTTTGATGTTGATTTCTTTGCCAAAAAAGGAAATAAGGAAGTGTGAAGTTTATTTTAGACCGTCCCAAAAAGGAAAGTGTGAAGTTTATTAAAAACCGGAGGGAGTATTAACTACAGAGACAGGATCCCAGAATTAACAATTCTCATCTTTGTAGGGGAAGTAAAGACTCGTATCAGCGCCAGGTTAAAAAAAGGGTTCACTTCGGATCAAAAACATCAATCTCATGAACAACTCGGCAGAGCCCATTATACCAAATTAATAACTAGAAAACATATGACACACAAAATTAACAAATTTGATAAAAAATAAAAATAAACATTTTCCCAAAGACAAAGAAACTAAGAAAGAGTAATCATGAAAATTAAACAGAGAATAAATGAAAAAAGAAAATAAAAAGAATGATTAAAATGGAAAAAGTTGTTAGTACCCAAAAGGGTCTCCAACTACAAGGAAACCAATATCAGTGGTCTGGGCTTCGAAGAGTATGACATCAACCTTCTCCTCAACAACTTCTCGGTCAGCGAGGGTAATTGGTTTCCCATATATGTTTTCCTACAAAGTTTGACAGTTCACTACATCAGCACATAAAAGAAATCATCAAAAGCTTGGAAGGAAAACAAACATCAGAGCGATGAGCCAATATTTAACCAGAGCAGAAAGGCCATTGGAAGAGAGGCCAAAAGAGAGAAGAGAAGTGTAGGCTTCCATGTAAATTTTGTTGCATTTCTTCACTGCTTCAAGTCCTTTCAACGTGATGTCTTTCTCATCCCCTAAGCCCAATCCTATTATATACAGCATTTGCTTTGATTTCAAGTGCTGTTATTTGGACAAGATTGGTTTTGTTAGGCAGCTCAATCCTAAAAAAGAACCATTCTGCTTGAAATCATTTTGATAATAATGCAAGGGATTATGATATTAGTTTTGAACATTAGTAGTTAGATATTTAAATTTTAAGGCTTAATCATGATGTGTGTGTGTTATTTACTTTATAATAACTCAAGGCTTGTGCATCACTATGCAGAGGCCAACTGCCTCGAGGCCAGATTTGACCTTTCAAAACTTTGATGAGCATTACCAAATTTTAAGGAATTTAAGCAATGCTTCTATCTAGAATACAGGCACATAGACACAGTCCAAAGTCTTCATATTCTTAGGATTTCAAACAAATAATAAGCTCAAGAGTATAAGAAGCCTTTATTGTCAATGTGACAATGTCATTATACAAGACTGGTTCTTAGACAAGACAATAGCCTAGTGGTATCCGTGACCTCATGGGGAGTTCTTTCGCTCATTTTCTTGAAAATAAAATAGAGAGAGTCCGTAAGATGGTTTAGTGCATAGCACATGTCAGGAGAGTTAAAAAGAGAAAGCTTTAATATAGGAAGTGTGTATTATAAAATCAAGTGTAAGCATGGGTGAAGGAGAAAAACTAAGTGCAAGCTTGTATTATAAATTTTACTTGTTAGGGAGAGTTAAAATGAGAAAGCTTTAATGCAGGAAGTGTTTTAACTAAAAATGACAAAACTAGTCCCTACTCACTACAACTACAAATATTTCAAGTATACAGAACATACATATATTTTATGAATTATATTTTCAACTTAATGATTTTCTTTTTCTAGTCCTATGACATACCCTAGTGTAAAATTATTATATTTGCATATTTGCAAATTTGTTTTATACAAATACTGAATACATCCAATTGTACTTTAAAAGATCAGAATGTCAATTTTTTAAAGAAGAGGCTTGTAATATTTTACGAATAATATAAATAAACTGTAAGGATGAGCTATTCATAATTTAAAATTAAACTGAAAACCCAACCATAACAATCAAATTCATACTAAACAAGACTGTAATTCAGTCTTTAAATTGAATTAAAAACACAATAAACTAAAACTTAAAATTAAACAAGGCTGTAATACTAAAGTCTAAACAAGGCTGTAATTAAAATTAAAAAACTTAATGATCTTAGTAACTTACCCGTTAGGTAGTTCCGCAGGCCGCAGCTCCAGAGTCCTAGTTTACCACCGAAGAGCAGAATTGCAGAAAGCCAGAAACTAAGCAGTGAAGCGGTCCAAACCGGAAAACCGCCGCGCGCCGTCCAACTGTCCAAGTGCTAAGCGCCTGAACCGCCGTGCGCCGTCCAAGTGCTGAGCTTAGGTTGGGATTTGGGGTTTTGCCGTCCAAAAGCTGCGGACTGGGTCTGCTGTGGTGCTGCCTCTTCCCCTGCGAGCTGAATTCTTGGAGTTGGATTTGGGGTATTTAGATTTGGGCCATGATCTAATTGTGGGCTTGGCTGGTAGGCATGGCAATGAGTCCGGGGCGGGTACTACAAGACACAGACCCGCCCCGTGACTTCACTGGGTGGACCCAACCTGCCCCGTGACCCGCACGAGTTCAATCTTGTTGACCCATGATTCGCCCCATGCAGGGTGAGTCCGTCTGCCCCGTCGTAACTAGGGTTGTTAACGAACCGAGCTTTTATCGAATTATTCGAGTTCGAGCTCGGTTTCGAACCTAACGAGCCAAGCTTAACGAGCTTTCCAACTCGAACCCGAGCTGAGTTTTAAGTTTGAAAAATTAATCGAGCCGAGCTCGAACATAGTAGAATTCGGCTCGGTTCGAACTCGAGCCTATCGAACACCCTAAAATTACAAATATAATTTATATATAATCAAAATTTAAATATAATTAATATAATTTTATGAATTTAAATATGAATATTAACGAACCGAATACTTGTCGAATCATTCGAGCACGAGCCTATTAACGAGCATCACCTAAATTTATAAATTCGATCATATTTATTGAGCTTATCGAGTGCTCGGTTCGAACATCGAACGTCTATCGAACCGAACACGAGCCTCATTTGTACAGCTCGCCGAGCTTCGAGCTCGAACCCAAACACCATTAATTTCTTATCGAGCCGAACTCGAGCTTTAGGTGTTCGGGCTCAGCTCGTTAACAGTCCTAGTCGTAACCGAATTAGCTAATATGCATTTCTATTTTTGTGAAGTTGTTACCACTTGAATCTACATAAAGTTTATCTAAACCCGGACCGGGTTTTTTCTTTTTACCCGGCCCGAATTAAAAAAAACCCGGACCGAACCGAAAATTCCGGGCTCATTAACGGGCCTTAAAATCTATAACCCGGCCCGGACCGAAAAAACCCGAAACAATTAGTTTTGATATAAAATTAATATAGTATATGAATATAAATAAAATATTTCCTAATATATGATTATAATCACGGTGGATAAAAAAAAAAGATTTAGTAACTTTTAGCGACTACAAATATGTTGAATTTGTTTAGCGTAATGATGACCATGAGAATATATTTATAGCAACTCTAGTAACTTTTTGATTTATAAAATTTATTTCGTAATATTTTTAAGAAACCTATATTATTTATATATATACATCTTACATAAAATATTGAGATAATTATCTTCTTTAAATCTGAATTGTTGGTGATTTTGGAGACTAATATTTGTGTTATTAATTTGCAGTTGTATTTTTGATTAATTTTATTTGAAAATAAGTGTTAAAATATAAAAGAACAATGACATATTTCACGGCCGGGCTTTAACCGGTCCAACCCGAATCCGGACCGAACCCGGGCTACCAAAAACCCGACTCGGACCGAATATAACGAGCTTTGTTCCGGTCCCTAATTATCATAACCCGAGACCTTCCGGGTAATTTCTGGGTTTAGCAAAAACCCGACCCAGACCGGACCGATCCCACCCCTAGGGGTGGCACCGGCATTCGCATGTGCACCGCATTAAATGCGGTGGGTGGATGTGACGCCGCATTAAATGCGGTGGTTGCTTGTCTCCAAAGGGAATCTTTGATGATTGAGCTGTAAGCCGAGGGCTTCCCCCGCAACCGGGGGCTCTGTGTAGCCGAAGGCTTGGCTAAGCCGGAGGCTTCCCTGATGCCGAGGGCACGAAAGTGCCGAAGACTTCTGATTTCTGTCATTTTCTCTCAGTAGCTTCGTATGCTCGAATCTGGCTGCCCTGTGAGTTTTGGAGCCTTCGGCCAAATTGCCGAAGGCTACCCTGGGCGCACCTCGGGATCCTTTGAGCTTGGGCCGCTGTGTCTTGGGCTTCTTGTGCTTCTTGGGCCTGTTGGGCCTGTGCTAGAGTAGTAGGAGTCTGTGGGCCGGGGGTTCCCGGACCATATACTCCATCAAGCGGCGAACCCTAGGAAAAGAAGAGCGAGAAGATCTGATATTCTCTCACGTATGAGATTCCAAAATTACATAAAATGCTATATATATAAAAGACATTGATAATTCATCGTTCATTTCATTCAAATTTAAATATTAATATATTGTAAGACCAACGAATTTATGATTTACTATACACATATGTATGTGGAAGTATATTTGTAATATATTTTTTTTAAAGTATGTATATTTATATATTGAGCGGGGCGGGTCGGGGCGACATGGGTCAATACTAATACCCGGACCTGCCCCATTGTATCCTTACATGCATATTGGTTAGAAGGATAGGACAGTGCGGAATACTGGTGGGCTTGCCTCGGCCGACCCAGTCCACCTTTTTTGGATCCCGTAACCCTCCCCATGAATACCCAGTTCGGGTCCCAGTCCCAATCCCGGCTCACCGGTTCGAGTCGTGCCTGCACAGTGCCGGGTCGGGTCAAGTCCCAGTTCAGGTCGACTCGTACCAGTCCACTCCTAATGCGGATGAACAAACCAATGGACTAATGGAATAATGGACCTGGACTGCTCTATATTAACATTTTCTTTTTGAAATTTGAGGGTGGACCTAATTTTTATACATACACACTAATTTTAGAAAAATAAAATTTGAGGGTGGTCCTAGGCCCACCTGACCCTAGGCTCAATCTGCCCTGACTTTAATTAGTAAGAGCAACTCCAATGGAGAGGTGCATTGCACCTCCACATCACCAAATGCCATTTTCTATTGCACATGCTCCCTCCAATGTTGTTTTTAAAAATATAACATATAATTTAGTGTTCCACTTTTTCAATTGCCATTTTCTATGAGACCGTGTTCCACTTTTGCAATTGCCATTTTCTATTGCACGGTTGCACCTGTTGTTTTTAAAAATAAAAATATAATTTTCTAACGGTTGTGGTGGCCGTAAGCAAGGATTGGGTTCATGTTCTGGAAATACCAAAGTCGGTGACTAAGGATTTGTGAACTGTAAAATGGGTGATAATGGAGATATGAGGATTCAATGGCTATTGGAGCATCATCTGGAATTGTATTTATCTGGTTTGTAGCTTTAAATCAGAAGGGATAAAGGATGGTTAATGTTGTTGTTAGGATAGTCCGTCTAAAAGAGGTTAGTGAGTGGCTAAATGTAGCTAAAATAAGTGATTTATGTGTTTATCTGGTCCTATTAAAAGATTAGTATCCAATTCGAACTTCCTAAATAACCTTAGTGTCTTTTTCGAGCCTTATCCCAAGAGAGAAATGATATAATTGAAAAACTAAAAGATAGTGTATTTCAAAGCTAAAACACATAAAATGATACCCCTTACGACCTTACCTTTCATGCACCTTTGAAACTCCGTTTCAAAGCTAAAAATGCTAGATTGAAAATTATATTTCCAATCAAACTAAAAAAAATCAAAGTGTGTGTTAAGTTTATCCATGAAAGGTTCATATTTCCAATTAATACGGTTAATGTGTCTTAAGTAACAATTTTTTTAAATGTCATATAAAAACAAAGGTAGATGACTTGAGCATTTAATCAAACATGCCGTATCCATAATTTGAGAGCACCTATATAAAATATAGAATATACTATTGTTGTGGTCCAACAACATGAATTTTTAAAAATCGAGATATAAAATTAGAGCATTTAAACTATATCGTTCATTTGCGATGCAACAACCGCAACTCAATTAGAAGATTTGTTGGGAATAGATTTTGTTATGTAGAAGATTTAAAATGTACACACCTCATTGTTGCGAGTAGGTGAATTTTTGAACAGAATGGATGGAGTTGATTGACCAAAGTATCAATTGGGACGAAGGCGGAAGGGTGAAGGATTGTATTTAACTATTTATCTGGTTTGTAGCTTTAAATCAGAAGCAAAAGTTGGGCATGAGTTAAGAATTAATTTCCTTGGTGATTGAATCTTTTAGAATTCAATTACAAATAGCAATTTCCCTGACATTAATTCCCTCACATAAAATTAGAAATGTAAGGTAGAACTTTGTTTAGATATCGAGTCAAACTCTATCTCTTTATTTCAGATTAGTATGTTCACTGTTGATTTCAATAGATCACTTTGCCTTGAATACACATAAGTGAGTGGTAATACTAACATAAATGAGTGAAAACAAAACACTGAAATCTCATTTGTACATCCCATAATACACAATATAATACACATAATATGCATCTCAGTGTCTCACATGTCAAACAATGTTACTTTTCTATTGATGATCTCTAGAAAATGGTGCCCCTTGGGAAAGGAATAATCCAGCTACCAAGTCCTCTTCCCAATCCTCTCACAAGTCCTTTTTTTTTGGAACATGCCTTTTCATTTATACTTATTATTTGGCTGCAATGGATGTTACCCAACTTCTTTTACCTTGATTTTCGTTTCAAAGAAAACTAAACTCGAGTCATGTAAATTGTAAAAGGGTTTATTAGTATAAATGGGTCAAATTTCACAATGTTTTACGGAGTACAATGTGTCTTCTCGTCCATTCGGACAATCTGAATATATTTCGGAAAAAATGTTTAATGCGGGAACCACCCAACTTCTTATGCTTACGGCTGTAATTCAGAGTAATACTTTTTTTATGCAACCGCAGTTACACATTCTTCCGAGCTAGGGGCCAGCCTAGTCCCAACCCACTCCAAATTTTATTACTCCCTCCGGTTCCTTAAAATTTTGTCAAAGTTTGACCGACACAAGGATTAATAAAGTAAAAATTGTGTGGTTGAGGTTTGTGCAGAGGAGAGAAAATTATCTGGAACCACAAATTCTTTACTTAAAAAGGAAAGTGGCAAAGTTAGTGGGACATCGCAAAAAAGAAAGTTGACAAAGTTTTAAGAATCATAGAAAGTGAGTATTATTTAAACTATTAGGGTAAAAACCTCAACCAAACGGTCTTTACTTTTCTAATTTCTGTTGGAATTGGGATACTGGGAGTATGGTATTAGAGTATATGATATATTTGTGACCACAAACATGTAATGTTTGAGCTATTTTATCAGAAAAGAATCTGAACTATGAGTACAAATATAACTCATTTCATCAAACAAAAATATCATATTTCGTTTATAGAACAATGGTGTCAAAAGACTCAAAACTAGTCACTAATTATTAGTGAACAATGTTGATACTCACAGTTATGATTGGCTGAAGGACGCTGTAGGAATAAATGTTTTCTAAGTTTCATGAGAAATGTATAAAAATGTATAACAATAATAAACCTTTTTAAAATTAAAATTATGAAGCACTAACGAATGAGACATAGTTTTTGTTTTCTAAATTAAGATAAGAAAAAGGGATTACCAACATTTTTTGGTACTAAAACAGAAAGCACACATTTTCTTGTAGGATTATCATTTTTGTTCGATAATTTGATTAATATACGTAAGAATAGATTGATTGCCTGAAATAATCGTATTTAATTTAATTGGAACTCGATGATCAAGATTAGAAAATTACAGAGCATAGAGCACAAACTCTATCATTTCCGCTTCTTTGCAAATAGGCCCGCGAAGCCACCAAATCCGCCGCCGTCTCCGCCATTGGACTTACCTTTGGGTTGAGGAACAGCCACCGAGTTCCGACGGCCGCGCACGGTGCCCCCGCGTTTCTCCTCCTCCACCTTATCCAGGATTGGATCGGTCTCGAAGAGCTGGTCCTCCTTTTGCATTCCGCTTAGAATCCAGTCCAGCAGGCCCTTCTCTCGGCTGCTTCCGCCGGAGCTTTTCGACGCTGCGGCCGTTGTGCGTGATCGTCTGTGGAGGGCGGTGACCGGAGTAAAGGACAAGTGCAGGGAAGCCATCGAATCTCAGCGTCCGTTTCTTGTGGTGTGGTGTTCTCAATTATTCGGACGGAGTATTGAGTGAGAAATTGGCGAGCTGGCTTCCAAGAGGAACGAGCGTATGTATGATGATTCAGATCATAATTGACTGGACGTGTGGGCAACACGAGTTTTTCATTCCACCATATGTGCCTTATCACCCTCATCCTCTTGTCGAGTGCAACTTTGAGATAGGGGTGAGTTTGGTTCTTGTGGTTCGTTGTTGATCTAAAACCAAATATAGAATTAAAATAATAAGTTTGGTTCGGTTTCGATTTCAGTTTTACACTCCAAAACTTGAAACCACGGTTTGATTGGTTCGGTTTGTTTCGATTCGGTTTCGGTTTTTTACCAAAAAAATTATCATTTGATTTAAAATTGATATATTACTTTGAGAGATCAAACATATTACATAAAGAATGCAAGCACAGTACAACAAATAAAATAAAAATGAAAATAAACAAATATGTCTTGAATAATATGAGTATGCGAGAGAAATAAAAATATATACTCCCTCTGTCCCTATATAAAAGGCATACTTTGACTAGCGCACATCTTTAGTGGGAATACTGTTTGATACTGTTTGACACTTTTCTAAACTGTTTTGCACTGTTTTGTTTGCCAAAAAGGGAAATGTGCCTTTTATGCATGGACAACCCAAAAGGAAAGTGTGCCTTGTATTTAGGGACAGAGGGAGTATATTACTCCCTCCGGTCCCTATTAAAGTTCTCACTTTCCTTTTCGGGATGTCCCTGATTTAAGTTCACACTTCTATTTTAGGAAACAAAACAGTGCAAAACAGTGAAAAGCAGTGTTAAACAGTGCCAAATTGTGCACTCCACAGTAAAGTCAAATTTATTTTCTTAATCTCTGTGAAGTCAAACAGTGAACTTTAATAGGGACCAGAGGGAGTACTAATTTACATTGTTTGTGACTAGTCCAAAAAAAGTTCATGAGCATATATGTTCTATGTGATATGATTGAAATGAATATTTATTGTTTCATCAATATGAATTTTGTAAGTTAAATAAAAATAAGTCAATTAATACTAATAACTAGCTAGTAAAAACATATTATCATTATTCAGTATAGCTACATTATCATGGGCAATGAATGTGTAAATGAATTTATAAACTAAACTAAACACAACACAAACATTGTTTCTATAGCACAAGAAAACCAAATACTATTAATAATATTAGGATTAGTTAGGATTAATGCATAACAATTGACAAATAAATTTTATATTTTAATTAGTTCGGTTTGTTCGGTTTTTAAGGGTAAAAACCAAAACCAAACCAAACAACTATGGTTCGGTTCGGTTTTTTTACAATCGGTTTTGGTTTGTTAGCGGTTCAGTTTTATTTGGCTACGCTTCGGTATGATTTGATTCGGTTTTCGGTTTTCGTTTTTTTGGACTCAACCCTACTTTGAATAAAAGTAGGGGGATTTTTGAAATAACTTAGAACTCGCGAATCGCATCCGACCGAACTGTGATGATCCATTTCGATTCAATTCCAACATCAATTAGTTATTTAATAACAATTCAATTCTTATAACACAGACTTGCGGACCAACGAGCTACACTAGCTTGTTTTCTGTCTACTAGGGTTTGGCATCTCACTTCTAGCAAACCCCTACGGAGCAGCGCGTCGGAGGCGGAAGAAGAGGAAGATGCCGGCTGGTCACGGAATAAGGGCGAGGACACGGGACCACTTCCAACGCGGTTTCAGGAAGCGCGGCCCCATCGCGCTCTCCACCCATCTCCGGGTTCTCCGCGTCAGAGACTATGTCGACATCAAGGTCAACGGATCTGTGCACAAGGGAATGCCTCACAAGTTCTACCATGGCCGCACCGGTCGCGTCTGGAACGCCACCAAGCGCGCAGTTGGTGTCGAAGTGAACAAGCAGGTTAGGAACAAGATCCTGAAAAAGAGGCTTCATGTCCGCATAGAGCATGTTCAAGCATCCAGGTGTACTGAGGAGTTTAAGCAGAGGGTGAAAGAAAATGATCAGCTCAAGGCTGAGGCAAAGGCTAAAGGTGTGGTTATCAACCCGGATTTATGGTACGTAGAAGGTGCTACCTTGGAGACTGTGACACCCATTCCTTATGATGTTGTCAATGATCTCAAGGGTGGTTACTAAGTATTTGTATTATTTCTTGGCAAGGTGTTGTTTTTATTTCACTTTTTAAGTAGCTTTACTCATCAGAGATTATGTTATGTTCTTGTCATTTTGAAATTTTGTGACCACAATGTAATGTGTGGCCGTGTGGGAGAACTTGTTTGCCAAGAGTTTTCTTCTATGGTAATTCATGGAACTTAGATAAAAAAAACAATTCAATTCTTATTTCTTTTTATTAACGATTCTATTATTGGTTCTATAAAAAATTTAACCGGAGCCGTTAAGGAACCGCTATACAATAATTAAGTTTGGGGGATTTGATTTTGCACCCTACTTTCTCGGTGATATTGGACTTTGCACCCATTTTCAAAAAACTTTGACTTTGCACCCCGAAACATATCATTTTGTGAAGAAAAGTTTCTAAATGGGGTGCAAAGTCAAAGGAATTTTAAGTGGAGCGGGGTGCAAAATCAAAGTTTTTCCAAAATGGGGTACAAAGTCACATACTTCCTCCGTTCTTTTTTAGTTGCAACAGTCAACCTTTGCACATTTGCCAATGCACACATTTGACCATAAGTATGTCTTAATCTCTATTAATAAAAAATATTAAAAATCAGATTTTGAAAATTTGTAATGAGATGAATTGAATTTTTTTTTTAAAAAATAATTTCCGTAAAATAATAGTGTAAAATGTAGTCAAAGTAGATCACGTGAATAGTGCAAAAAGTCAACATGTTGCAATTAAAAAGAGACGGAGGATAGTATCACCCAAAAAGTGGGGTGCAAAGTCAAATCCCCCATTAAGTTTGTATCTATTACTTATCTCTTTGTGTGTGGGGGTTCGTATTTATTTCTATATTAAAGTCAGTAATTTAGTTTAATAAATAGAGTTGCAAACTTGATAAGTATTTAACTGATTCCTCTTGTAGTGAATCTCTTTTTTGTTTTATTTATTGAACCTTTTTAGTTATGTACTTATATTTCAAACTTAATGATGGCTTTACCGACCCTAGGGATAGCAAAAAATAGAGAAAGGATGAAAATTGCTAAGTAACAAATAGAGAGAGGTTGAGTAAAATTGAAAATTTGCCAGAGTAACAATAAGCATGTACGCACAAATGGCAATCTTTTTCCACAAGTTGGAAGGTGATATTTATAGCGTAAAAGCTAAATACTTGGGTAATAAGTAAAATATACTAGTCTAATAATACAATGACAGGTGTAATAAAGCCTAATTGGTGAGAGAATAATCATAGATGAATGACTGGTATTGTGTGTAATAGATCCTTTCTATGTGAAGCTACTTAGGTGACGCAATCCTTGGACAAATCTCGCTTGGATGATGCGATCACAGTCGTGTGCAGATCTTGAGTCCTGAAATGGCTAAGCTCACAATCTTCTAATGAGATCTCAAACTCAGCAGGTGATCAAAGTTGAGCTCAAATGTAGCGTACTTGTTAAGGGGAAGGTGACCTCAGTTCACTCTATGTGAAATGGTGATGCTTTCTTTGATCTGTTGACTCAGTGAAGCGCCGTTGGGATCAAGCTCATTAATGATGTTGTATCAGATGTTGATCTCGGTGAAACCGACCTCAGCCTCGAATGCAGTTTTGGACTTATCTCGATAATTTGGGACTCGAATTTGGACTTAACCTCGACCAAAGTCAAGTTCGGCCTCTGTAAGGAAGTGACTTGGCGGATACTGGAGAACCTTTTGTCGTAGATGTTTATACCCATGGGGTATATGGGTGACCTTGAAGGTATATGTATTTCTTATAATTCCAATTATTGAATGTCTTTATGTGTCAAAAATGTAATAGTGGTTTGTTGGATATTTAAAAAAAATTAGGAATAAAAAATGACTATAACCGCATCTTAAAGGTTCAGTTGGGTTCCATATTGGTTCTAAAGTAATTTATAAGAACCGTGCGCCCTAATAATTAAAAGTTGATTTTTTTAAATGGTTCCATATGTTTACATAATAATCGAATCGGTCCCAGACATAAACAAAACTCCCCATCCATTTAAAAAAATTGATAAGAATGACGGTTCTTCTAAACTTTTATCATTTTTTCATTACATCTTATTAAGATGGTCTGTATTCAATTTAATATCAATTAAATATCAACCATATAAATTTGTCATTTTTCATAAATATCACTGAAATAAACCTATTTATAAACATACAAGAAAAATTGATATAGTATAGTGTCATGGTCACTTAAGGGTCTTCCAGTAATGATTTTTCAGGTGTTGATGTTTCACTTGAGCTGTTTCCAGATGATGAAGTACTCATACGTGTTCCTTCCTCGGATCAAGAGCAGGAACAAGATACTAAACATTCCATAAATAATCCAACTGTGGAACCCGTGTTCACCAACTCAAGCTACCAGCTCCTCACTTGAGTAAACGGAGACAGTTTCGACTTTGCCCACTCAAGAATATGGTCGAGGGCACAGAACGTGGATACCGTCGGTACGGTGGAAAGATTACATCACCGCCACAATCATGCATCTCCCATCTAGTGTGTCAAGCAATTCCTATCCACTCAATAGATATGTCTCATATGCTCGTTTTTCCTGAATCTCATCGATCATTTTTGGCGGCCCTAAAGATAGAAGTGGAGCTCACATGTTCAAGGAGGCCATGCATTATGATCATTGGCGAAAGGCCATGCAGGATGTAATTTGTGCACTCGAGAACAATTGTACATGGACATTTGAGCTGGTACCGGAGAATAAACATCCTCTAGGATGTACGTGGGTGTACAAAATTAAGTGTAAGTCTAATGGTATCGTGGAGCAATATAAAGCACGGTTGGTTATCTTTGGTAATAAAACAAATGGAAAGGATTGATTAATTACAATGAAACATTTGCGCCAGTTGTCAAACTTACTATCGTGCGTGTTCTACTTGTTGTTGTTGCAACAAAACAATGGGAACTGCATCGGATGGATGTACATAATGCCTTCCTACATGCCTGTCGATCACGTAAGTTGTTGTATGGTCTCACGCCGGCGCCCCTGAGGCGCTGGTTTGCCAAATTAACAGGTGCGCTAAATGTTTATGGTTTTATTCAATCGCATTCTGATTATTCTCTCTTTTCTCTATTTCGGTGAACCTCGGTCAATCAAATTTTGGTCTATATGGATGATTTAATTATTGCCAGTAATGATTCGATGCTTGTGACTGAAGTAAAAAATTATTTGCATTCGTTACTTTTTTGGAATAGAAGTGGCTCCTAATTCTTTCGGTATTTTTCTGAATAAAAAGAAAATATGCTTTGGATATTATTTCCGACGTTGGTATTCTTGGCTCTCGTCCACTTCATATTGTGTTAGCGAAGCCTCAGTTCCCTTGCTGGATGATCCTGAACCTTATCGCCGACATGTTGGTCGACTAGTTTACTCGTCTTTTACACACAGAGCTATCATACTTCGTGCATACTCTTGCACAATTTCTTTTGACACCTCGTCTTGATCACTTGAAAGCAACACTCCGGGTTGTTCAGTATTTGAAAGGGAGTCTGAGTAATGACATATTTCTTTCTTCTTCGACAAATTTGCACCTTATAAACTAGTGTGATCCCGATTGGGCAGGTTGCCCACTTACCCGACGATTGATCTTTTATGAGATGGTTTGTTCAGTTAAGGGATTCACTTGTTTCATGGAAAACCAAGAAACAACACATTGTTGCTCGATCATCAGCGGAGACAGAATATCGTTCGCTTGTTGCGGTCACATGCGAGCAAAAATGGATATGTGGTCTCCTACATTATCTTGGTGTGTCCCAGTCTTCGCCCATGAAAATTCATTGGGATAGCACGACGGCTCTTCACATTGCGACCAATCCAGTATTTCATGAACGAACTAAGCATATAATGATATAGAGGTGGACTGTCATTTTGTTCATGATGAGATCACACGGGGCACCATTTCTCCTCATTATGTTCCCACCTCGCGACAATGTGCAAGCATTTTCACTAAAATTCTTGGGAAAAAAAAGTTTGATCTTCTCTTATCTAAGTTGGGCATGTGTGATTTAGATGTAAGATGCTCCAACTTGAGGGTGGTATTAGATCAAACGTAGCATATTAATTTTATCATGTTAATTATTTTAGCTTAGTTTGTAGAGTTGTATATTCACGTATTTGGACTGGCCCATTTGCTCTGGCCCATTTGTTATATATATATATATATATATATATATATATATATATATATATATATATATATATATATATTCTCTATTCCATCTTTATTCCATGTAATGAAGAGACATAGCATTGTATACAAAATCTTATGCTTATTAAATAGAGAACACGGGTCTTGAAAAAACCTTGACAAACTACGAGATGTAGCCGTCACTCAAATCCTAGAGTTAGGAGGTGGTCTCAACCAGCTTCAAGGGTGAAAGAGCATTGCCTCCAGCGTGCTCCTTTGCTTTTAGCATTTTAGAGTTTTGCTTCTCTCAGTTTGAAAGTCGGGGGAGAATTATTCTTCACAATACATAGTTTATACGTAAGTAAAAAAAATGGCCTGTGCACTTGTATGAGTGTTGTTTTATTCCCTAAAATTTTTAGGGTTCTTCTTATGTCAATTTTGACCATCATTTTATGAGTGATTTCTTCTCAAATAAATGATGTAAGTGAAAAAAATGATGCAAGTGCTTCCACGGAGTTACACTATTGTTTAATTGTTATTGATGTTATTCATCAAGTTTTATATATGTTTATTCTCAAATCCACATATGCTTCTCAACCCATTTATGATGACACCGTTGATCCGCCCTCCTCCAGAACCACCGCCACACGAGAAAAGAGTAAAACAAGTTTTTTTTATCAAATTATTATATACAAGATTGGAATAAATATCACTGGTTTTCAGATTGCCGAGACATATCAGCAGGTCCAATATATGGAATCAAGC